GCAGTCGTTGTCCTGGCGCACAAAGGTCACGATGTGGCATTGTGTTTTCCTGCGGCTCATCTCCAATGGAGTGAAGTTGGTGTGATCACGGTCACAGATGCCTCCTTCTCCAACGAGAAGAACTACAAGTCGCAACAGGGCAGGATCCATTTTCTGGGTGATCTCAAGGAGATCAAAGATGACAAGACGACCACTTATAAGGTGATGCCATTGTCTTTTGGATCCACGACAATTAAGAGAGTCTGTCGCAGCACTCTCCAGGCCGAAACGTATTCCCTCCAGAACGGACTCGAGACAGGTGACAAGCTGAGAGGTGTGATTGCGGAGATTAAGGGTAAGATTCGCAGTCTGAAGACATGGGAAGATGATGCCCGTGAATGCATTCCGCATTTGGCGATGACTGATTGCCGTTCGCTTTCTGACCACCTCAATCAGGAAGTCCTGGCCAAGGTGAGTGACAAGCGCCTTGGTATCGAGTTGCAAGGAATCCATGAGAATTTGTGGCAAGAAGGAAGACCAACATGGATTGCTTTCGAGAATGGAGGAGACAAGTTGATCTGGATTGCCACCAGTACGATGGTGTCGGACTGTTTGACGAAGTCCATGAAGCCAGATCTGCTACTTCGAGTGCTGAAGGAGTGCCACTACACTGTACAGAAGCAGAAGTAGATTTCTCCAATGCCTTAGGAAGACACAAGAGTTTCAATGTATAGCCGTGTGACACCTGTAGAACAGGTTGAGTGTGAATTTGAGGTAGGATCTCATTCTGTTGAGCCAGGTTGTCACACTATGTTGTGTCTGCCGCCGTTTGGCTCCTAGGGCCCTTGAGCTATACCGTGCTCGCTTTCGCAGTGAAAAGAGCGTGTGGACAGTACGATTCCGGTTGCTACCGACAATATATATATGTATATATATGTGATTATATATGTGTGAGCCAGACACATCGGACACATGGCCTTTTGCCACAACCACCGCAACTGCGCAGTGTTCAAGGAAACCAACTCACGAAACGAGAAGTGACACCCGGGTGAGATGCCCATGAAGTGACTCAAACACCCATGACATCGGTAGCGTTTTGGTCTTGCACGTTTGTGCCGAAGAACTCAAATGTGCGAGTTCAGCGGTCTTCAATTAGTTCAGCAAATGTGTTCTGTGTTGATGTGTTATCGCCTAAACACATTGCAGACATCAGCCGTATATCCGGAGAAGGTGTAGATGTAAATTAAAGTGACTTTAAAAAAAGAAGAAACACAAGCATACTGTTCTGGAACGTTTCCTCGCCAGCCTCTATATACGCTCAAGAAGCGACCAGCCGGGCGTCACAGACGGCTTCACAGGGATGCAAGACCATGATGGCAGGGCACTCCTCGCACGAATCTTGGTCCGACTCAATTGCCCCCCATGATGTGTGACGGTACCACACGCGCGATATGTGCATGATATGTCATGTGACCATGCGTTTGAGAAAGAACCATCTTCGGTCCCTTTTCTTCTTCTCTCGATCCACCTGGATTTCAGAGAGCCGACATCCAAGCTCGGTCACAAGAGCACAGCACAAAGCAGCACATATGCTGCGCAGCGCACGTCCCACTGTCGAAGTCGCTGTCGAGCGTGGCCAGGATGGGGCCGCTCACAGAGTTGGGACGGAGGAGGACGGAGCGAGCAGCTCCGCGCTTTTGGGTGACCCGGAGTCGCGAATGGAAGGTGCGATGGGTGACCTGGATGGCGAAGGTAGAAAGTTCGTTCACTTACAGTAAGTTACCATGAAGAGATCGACCTGGCGACCTGGGCCCAGAACTGGGGCATTGCTGAAAACATGTTTGGATGGGGGCTACTGTAGTAGGCAAGCGGGTGGCAAGCAATTGGAGACCCATACCCCCAAACCAGTGGTGCAGCTGGTTTGCAGAGATCTTTTGATGGATTCAACTTGCAGGTTTGGCCATGAAGATTGTAGTAGTGCGTTGGTTTTTGCATGAAGTAACCTAGGTGGCAAGGGCCGCATCAAACAGCAATCAATGAAGCGCGGAGAACTTTGTGTAATAGTTCTGAAGAGTCCTAAGGGATGCCCTGCAACCATTATTGAGCCACTCCCAATTCCATAGACTGCCGAATGGTTCAAGCCAGACCAAGGTTGAGCCACATCCTTTGACCAATTTGCAGGCCATATTGGCCATATTGAAGTGTTATGTTTGATTTGTATGACAGTAAAAGCACATTCACCGGATCCGAGGTTATTGCATTACCACAGTCTAGCCGTGAAGAATGATGCTAATGAAGCTGCTATAGACTTCTACACTTACCTAAAATGCTTTGCAATACACTCCCTCCAATGTGTTCACAGCCACGACAAGGCCAGGGCGGACCATGGGCAACCCAGTGTACCTCCTGGTCAGACCCGACGCAACGCTCCAACAAGCACCATGCCACCAGGATGGGGTGGCTGGGATGGAGGTCCCTCTCACAAGAGGCGCAGGTGCACGATGGTCCGACTGTGACGGCTTTGAGACTTCCACCCTGACATTCCGCCAAAAAGAGTTTCTGCACTGCACCTCATATAGACACAGGATACACAGAGTGACTGAAAAGCTGAGATACTGCATACGCTTTAAGTATTGTTTCTGTATCAGGGGACGCAGCATATTGCCCATCACAGGACCATCGCAGGACCATCGTCTGTTCCTTGAGTTTTCGTTCGGGTTTCATCGGGGCGGCCGCGATCCATTCATGGTGGTCACAGTGACTCAGTGGTCACGACGGGGCCCAACCATGACGAGCGTGGCCAAAAGAATCACTTGATATAGAAAGGAGAGAATGCAGTTGGGAAAAGAAAGCAACATAAAGCAATTCACTTTCAAGTCGGAACACGCCGTCTCTGTAGTGTCTCGCTGTTGTTTCTGGAACTGCACTCCTCAAAGGTTCAGAACATCTCGGAAGGGTACCATTTTCCAAGGCAAATGAGGAGTTGAGAGTCAAGATTGGGTCACTACTACTACTACTACTACTACTACTACTACTACTACTACTACTACTACTACTACT